TGTGATTCCCAGCTTCCATAGACATACTTGTGCTAGCTCTCATTGAGCTAGCATGCTAAATAGAGAAGTATCACTGAACTATCATGGGCAGCAGTAGCTGTGGCACAGGGTAGCTACCCCAAGCATGTACCCATGTGGTCCAGGTGGGATTGTACTGAGGAGCGCTAACCTGTGCTACCACACTACACTACTATTTTCAGCATGCTAGCTTGGTAAGCGCTAGTGTGAGTATGTCTACATGAGCCAGGAATCACACTCCTAGCTCCAAGTGTAGACATATCCTACATTTTACATCAAAGATTTGTTCCTGGAAAAAAACAATGAGGCTTTGATTCTCTCAGAGAGTGGCTTGAGGAGAGGAAGAAGGGGAGAGTATGACATTTCAGGGTGCAATCCAGACCAGTGAGGGGCTGTATCACCATTTGCCCTGCAACCTGGAGCGCTCACAATGTTTTGCTGCTGTAGTTCTGAACTTGGGCTCCTCACAAACAGCCAAATAACATGCAGCTCACACCCTGAGTGTCAGTGTATAGCCACAGCCCTGGTTCAGCAATTCTGACTTTAGCAGCCTGTTAGCAAACACCAGACACACTCTGGCTTCCACCAGTCTTGGTTACTACTTGCAGGGTGACCCCAGCACACTCCCAGTCCTGGATTTCCCCGCAAAATGTGTGTTCTGTCCAACCCTTTCCTGGACAGTCCATATATTGGGTCTATTGCCCTCCTAAGGGGATCATGATACAACAGACTGCTACCTTAAATGGAGTTACCCAACCAATTCACAACACTGGATTAGTTTTAATTAAAGAATAAGACAAGTTTATTTAACTATAAAGAGAGGTTTACAAGTATTAAGGCATTAAAGTCAGAAATGGTTACAAGAAAAATAAAGATGAAATACTTCCTCGTACTAAAACTAAACTAAACTTGGTTCAGGGTGAAATTCTTGCCACAGGTTTTCAATAGCATTGCTGACCAAGTTTCAGGTCAGGGTCTGCTCCCAAGGTCCAATGGCCATTTCTTTTGTCTTAGGCGAAAAGAGAGATGGATAGGGAGAGATATCTTGAGGTGTTTTTGCCCCTCACTTTTATAGTTCAGTCACCCTCTGAAAAGCATTTTCCTGAGTGTGACCCCTAGTTAAAGTCAGGGAGACATGGTGTCTGGTGGAGGAAGGAGGATTCATGCTGTTTCTTTTCACCAATCTCTGCTGAAATGCAGATTTTTTGGGGGGGGGTCTTCTTTCTTCCCCCTCTTGCTGTCTGAGAACTCTGTTTATCACTTATGTGCAAACTGAGGTAAACACACATCCCTTTGTTTAAAACGGCCCTGCTTGACCAGATCTACCTACTCGGAGCTACATGAGTGTGAACATGTGCCTTTATCATCATACAGGGGGGATATCATAACTTTACACATAATGTTGCTACATACATTTCACCATGAAAATATTGACTAGTGAGTTATTAGTTTTCAAATGACACCTCACAATGCATATTCTGAACAAAAGATTATTACAATAGTGTTTGGGGTATGAATACAGCGGTACATTCGGTCACAGAGAGTTATACCATAAAAGCAAGAAATAACCAGCCCTAGGGATATTTAAGACACTGAAAATCTTTTCTGCCCCCCTTTACCCAATGCTATTATAGCTGGATATGCTATTGAATCCCTGATTCAAAAATACTTGCTTTTCTTCTTCCGGAGGAGAAAGCCATGATTGTAGACTGATTACCAGACTTCAAATTCAATTTTCTCTTGTCACATTCCATCAGTGTTCCCCAAATCTTTGAAAGCTGTACAAAGTAAAAGCAATCACACCCCACTTCAAGTCCACCATGTGTTGTTAAAGGCTTACCCATTGGAAAAGTCACAAGGAAATTAACCTTTGTTCAATATGGCCTACTTCCCAAGATATATTGCAATTGTCTAGTTCCATATCTAAACTCAGATCCTAACTTTCTCAGAATTCAGGGTTTTTTGCATTGTAACTGTTTGACTCTGGATCTGCACTTCAAAGTTCAGGGTGTTTGCATACTGAGTTTTACTTTGAGCCCAACCCTAATTTCTATAATCTGCATGCAATATGCTATTACCATTCTCTCTCAAACCCCCTCTGAATGCTACACTGTATGATTATGGATGTGCGTTGAATACATGAGGCATGGTGAGGTCTGAAGGTTGTGTTGACTTGACTTAGGGATGGCCACGTTGCACGTCCTGGCCTAAGTGAGCTTCAATTGAAGTCAAAGGCCAATCTCCCAGTGAAGTAAATGGGAGTATGATCAGCTGTATTGTATTTATTTTAGGGTACATTTATAAGGGTATGTCTACACTACGAAATTAGGTTGAATTTATAGAAGTCGGTTTTTTAGAAATCGGTTTTATATATTCGACTGTGTGTGTCCACAGAAAATGCTCTAAGTGCATTAAGTGCATTAACTCGGCGGAGCGCTTCCACAGTACCGAGGCTAGAGTCGACTTCCGGAGCGTTGCACTGTGGGTAGCTATCCCACAGTTCCCGCAGTCTCCGCTGCCCATTGGAATTCTGGGTTGAGATCCCAATGCCTGATGGGGCTAAAACATTGTCGCGGGTGGTTCTGGGTACATATCGTCAGGCCCCCGTTCCCTCCCTCCCTCCATGAAAGCAAGGGCAGACAATCGTTTTGCGCCTTTTTTCCTGAGTTACCTGTGCAGACGCCATACCACGGCAAGCATGGAGCCCGCTCAGCTCACTGTCACCATATGTCTCCTGGGTGCTCACAGACATGGTACTGCATTGCTACACAGTAGCAGCAACCCATTGCTTTGTGGCAGCAGACGGTGCAATAGGACTGGTAGCAGTCATCGTCGTGTCCGAGGTGCTCCTGGTCGCCTGTGTGAGGTCAATCAGGAGCGCCTGGGCAGACATGGGCGCAGGGACTAAATTTGGAGTGACTTGATCAAGTCATTCTCTTTAGTCCTGCAGTCAGTTCTATTGAACCATCTTATGGTGAGCAGGCAGGCGATATGGATTGCTAGCAGTCCTATTGCATCATCTTCTGCCGGGCAGGCAAGAGATGAGGATGGCTAGTAGTCCTATTGTACCATCTTCTGCCGAGCAGCCCTGAGATGTGGATGGTATGCAGTCCTTCTGCACTGTCTGCTGCCAGCCAAAGATGTAAAAGATAGATGGAGTGTATCAAAACAAGAAATAGACCAGATTTGTTTTGTACTCATTTGCTTTCCCCCCCCCATCTAGGGGACTCATTCCTCTAGGTCACACTGCAGTCACTCACAGAGAAGGTGCAGCGAGGTAAATCTAGCCATGTATCAATCAGAGGCCAGACTAACCTCCTTGTTCCAATAAGAACAATAACTTAGGTGCACCATTTCTTATTGGAACCCTCCGTGAAGTCCTGCCTGAAATATTCCTTGATGTAAAGCCACCCCCTTTGCTGATTTTAGCTCCATGAAGCCAACCCTGTAAGCCGTGTCGTCAGTCACCCCTCCCTCCATCAGAGCAACGGCAGACAATCGTTCCTCTCCTTTTTTCTGTGCGGATGCCATACCAAGGCAAGCATGGAGGCCGCTCAGCTCACTTTGGCAATTAGGAGCACATTAAACACCACACGCATTATCCAGCAGTATATGCAGCATCAGAATCTGGCAGAGCGATACCGGGCGAGGAGGCAACGTCAGCGCGGTCACATGAGTGATCAGGACATGGACACAGATTTCTCTGAAAGCATGGGCCCTGCCAATGCATGCATCATGGTGCTAATGGGGCAGGTTCATGCTGTGGAACGCCGATTCTGGGCTCGGGAAACAAGCACAGACTGGTGGGACCGCATAGTGTTGCAGGTCTGGGACGATTCCCAGTGGCTGCGAAACTTTCGCATGCGTAAGTGCACTTTCATGGAACTTTGCGACTTGCTTTCCCCTGCCCTGAAGCGCATGAATACCAAGATGACAGCAGCCCTCACAGTTGAGAAGCGAGTGGCGATAGCCCTGAGGAAGCTTGCAACGCCAGACAGCTACCGGTCAGTTGGGAATCAATTTGGAGTGGGCAAATCTACTGTGGGGGTTGCTGTGATGCAAGTAGTCCATGCAATCAAAGATCTGCTGATATCAAGGGTAGTGACCATGGGAAATGTGCAGGTCATAGTGGATAGCTTTGCTGCAATGGGATTCCCTAACTGTGGTGGGGCCATAGAAGGAACCCATATCCCTATCTTGGCACCGGAGCACCAAGCCGGCAAGTACATACACCGCAAGGGGTACTTTTCAATAGCGCTGCAAGCTCTGGTGGATCACAAGGGACGTTTCACCAACATCAACGTGGGATGGCCGGGAAAGTTACATGACGCTCGCATCTTCAGGAACTCTGGTCTGTTTCAAAAGCTGCAGGAAGGGACTTTATTACCAGACCAGAAAATAACTGTTGGGGATGTTGAAAAGCCTACCCCTTAATGCCATGGCTCATGAAGCCATACACAGGCAGCCTGGACAGTAGTCAGGAGCTGTTCAACTACAGGCTGAGCAAGTGCAGAATGGTGGTAGAATGTGCATTTGGACATTTAAAGGCGCGCTGGTGCAGTTTACTGACTCACTTAGACCTCAGCGAAACCAATATTCCCATTGTTATTACTGCTTGCTGTGCGCTCCACAATATCTGTGAGAGTAAGGGGGAGATGTTTATGGCGGGGTGGGAGGTTGAGGCAAATCGCCTGGCTGCTGGTTACGTGCAGCCAGACACCAGGGCGCTTACAAGAGCATAGGAGGGCGCGGTACGCATCAGAGAAGCTTTGAAAACCAGTTTCATGACTGGCCAGGCTATGGTGTGAAAGTTCTGTTTGTTTCTCCTTGATGAAACCCCCCGCCCCTTGGTTCACTCTACTTCCCTGTAAGCTAATCACCCTCCCCTCCTCCCTTTGATCACCGCTTGCAGAGGCAATAAAGTCATTGTTGCTTCACATCATGCATTCTTTATTCATTCATCACACAAATAGGGGGATGACTACCAAGGTAGCCCAGGAGGGGTGGTGGAGGAGGGAAGGAAAATGCCACACAGCACTTTAAAAGTTTACAACTTTAAAATTTATTGAATGCCAGCCTTCTGTTTTTTGGGCAATCCTCTGTGGTGGAGTGGCTGGTTGGCCAGAGGCCCCCCCACCGCGCTCTTGGGCGTCTGGGTGTGGAGGCTATGGAACTTGGGGAGGAGGGCGGTTGGTTACACAGGGGCTGTAGTGGCAGTCTGTGCTCCAGCTGCCTTTGCTGCAGCTCAGCCATACACTGGAGCATACTGGTTTGATCCTCCAGCAGCCTCAGCATTGAATCCTGACTCCTCTCATCACACTGCCGCCACATTTGAGCTTCAGCCCTCTCTTCAGCCCGCCACTTACTCTCTTCAGCCCACCACCTCTCCTCCCGGTCATTTTGTGCTTTCCTGCACTCTGACATTATTTGCCTTCACACATTCATCTGTGCTCTGTCAGTGTGGGAAGACAGCATGAGCTCAGAGAACATTTCATCACGAGTGCATTTTTTTTCTTTCTAATCTTCACTGGCCTCTGGGAAGGAGAAGATCCTGTGATCATTGAAACACATGTAGCTGGTGGAGAGAAAAAAAAAGGGACAGCGGTATTTAAAAAGACACATTTTATAAAACAGTGGCTACACTCTTTCAGGGTAAACCTTGCTGTTAACATTACATACATAGCACATGTGCTTTCGTTACAAGATTGTATTTTGCCTCCCCCCACCGCGTGGCTACCCCCTCAACCCTCCCCCCTCCCCGTGGCTAACAGCGGGGAACATTTCTGTTCAGCCATAGGCAAACAGCCCAGCAGGAACGGGCTCCTCTGAGTGTCCCCTGAAGAAAAGCATCCTATTTCAACCAGGTGACCATGAATGATATCTCACTCTCCTGAGGATAACACAGAGAGATAAAGAACGGATGTTGTTTGAATGCCAGCAAACATACACTGCAATGCTTTGTTGTACAATGATTCCCGAGTACGTATTACTGGCCTGGAGTGGTAAAGTGTCCTACCACAGAGGACGCAATAAGGCTGCCCTACCCAGAAACCTTTTGCAAAGGCTTTGGGAGTACATCCAGGAGAGCCGCAAATGCCAGGGCAAATTAATCCTTTCACATGCTTGCTTTTAAACCATGTATAGTATTTTAAAAGGTACACTCACCGGAGGTCCCTTCTCCGCCTGCCGGGTCCAGGAAGCAGCCTTGGGTGGGTTCGGGGGGTACTGGCTCCAGGGTGAGAAACAGTTCCTGGCTGTTGGGAAAACCGGTTTCTCCGCTTGCTTGCTGTGAGCTATCTACAACCTCATCATCATCATCATCATCTTCTTTGTCCCCAAAACCTGCTTCCATGTTGCCTCCATCTCCATTGAAGGAGTCAAACAACACGGCTGGGGTAGTGGTGGCTGAACCCCCTAAAATGGCATGCAGCTCATCATAGAAACGGCATGTTTGGGGCTCTGACCCGGAGCGGCCGTTCGCCTCTCTGGTTTTCTGGTAGGCTTGCCTCAGCTCCTTAAGTTTCACGCGGCACTGCTTCGGGTCCCTGTTATGGCCTCTGTCCTTCGTGCCCTGGGAGATTTTGACAAAGGTTTTGGCATTTCGAAAACTGGAACTGAGTTCTGATAGCATGGATTCCTCTCCCCATACAGCGATCAGATCCCGTACCTCCCGTTCAGTTCATGCTGGAGCTCTTTTGCGATTCTGGGACTCCATCATGGTCACCTGTGCTGATGAGCTCTGCATGGTCACCTGCAGCTTGCCACGCTGGCCAAACAGGAAATGAGATTCAAAAGTTCGTGATTCTTTTCCTGTCTACCTGGCCAGTGCATCTGAGTTGAGAGTGCTGTCCAGAGCGGTCACAATGGAGCACTCTGGGATAGCTCCCGGAGGCCAATACCGTCAAATTGTGTCCACAGTACCCCAAATTCGAGCCGGCAAAGCCGATTTAAGCGCTAATCCACTTGGCAGGGGTGGAGTAAGGAAATTGATTTTAAGAGCCCTTTAAGTCGAAATAAAGGGCTTCATTGTGTGGATGGGTGCAGGTTTACATAGATTTAACGCTGCTAAATTCAACCTAAAGTCCTAGTGTAGACCAGGGCTTAGTGTCATTAGTAGACATTTGAAAGTATTATGCTACATATATGTGCACTAATGTTGAGGTAGTATTATTGTGTATTCCAAAATTTAACTTTATTATTGCATCATTATAGTTTCTTGGGGAACAGCAGTGGGTTGCAGTAGTGGGCCAGGTAGCTGTTAAAAAGGCATCCTGGATTTTGCATAGGGGATCATTAATTTCAATTTGTATAAAGTATTTTCTTGGTGAATCAATGTAACATGCTAGCTAGAGCCTCCTGAATGTATCTATGTTTATTTGATAGAACATTGGTAATTTCATATTATCTATTTATGGAGTTATTTTAAATTTCCAGCAGCTTTGTGGTTTCACATTCCCTCTCCATCATTGCAAATAGCACAGTAAAACCACCAAGCGCCAGGAAACACTGTCAGCCAGGGTAATTTTTACTTCCGTAACTAACTGCAGGGTTCTTTTTATTTTTCAGATAAACTTAATGGACATATCTTTTCCACTGAGGCTTTTATAAACATTTGGTCTGGGACTGCTAGAGATATCATCATCTATAACATATCATATAAATATCTTAGAAAGAGAAGGAACATAGTGTCGGTGCAGCACAACACATGTAAAGTGATTTTTGGAAGTCACTTAGCTCCCTGCCGGTAAATCAGAGATGGATATGCTGCTGTAGAAGATGTTAAGTCTCTACCAAAATTAAGCACTCTGTTTTCCTCCATAGATATTTCTTACCTGTTGTTTAAACAGCAAATGTGCAATCTGTATGGGCAGCAACTCTGGTTAGGGAACCAACAGAGCTGCCCATCACTGGCAAACATGGTTCAAATAAGTATTTAGGAATGGTGGTGTTCCAGTCTCAGGACAACTGCACCTGTTTCCTCTCCTTCATGGTCCACCAATGGTTTGCAGCTTTCAGCCATCACTTCTCTTGGGGAGAGACCCATGTCTCACTTCTACCTGACTGGGGTTTTTAAGGCTGCACAGCTCCCTGGGTTACTCTGTGATATCACCAGCAATACAGATTGCCTATACAGACCAGGTTCTGCACTTTGCTTTCTCTCCAAAGCCTGTGACCAGTCTATTGCCTGCAGTTACAAATTACCACACAGCTCCTTCTAAACAAGCACTTTACTTTTATTCTTAAGGTAAAAGGATTACAGAGAAAATATATTTAAACAATAAAAGTTCCTATACGCATGCTAAAAGCTTACCAGAGGGCAGCCATCAGTCTTACGGACACCTAATAACCCCTTCCACCCCTTACAAAACAGTTGGGTCCTCCCCTTGGACAGAGGGTCCTGTCTGTTTGCTGAATCAAAAGGTGGCCCTGAGTCAGCTTAAACTCAAACTATTTATTCAAAGTCCTTTGTCTGTACGGTGGTCTCTGGAGAATCTAGTTTAAAACAGTATATGCAAGACTCTCCTGGTGGTAGTACCTCTCTGGAAGCGTTACATGAATTTGCCTGATCACTGCCCACTGTTCTTAGTTTCTGGAGGGGCTGTGATTAATATTGAATTACATACAACCCCTGACTCACAATGATACATAAACTTAATGCAGTAAGATCTCCCAAAAATATTGTAGGAAACTGCCATATCTGTCACACCTGGCAACACTGTCCCATGTAATGGGAGCTCTTGGCTTGCCTTACTGCTAAAGTGACCAAATTAACCTAGCACATTTGGATATTGGCCCTCTCCCACTCAGATACCCTCCCTAACTCAACAATTCTGCCAGCTTTATTTTATTTTAAATTGCAATTGTTCTTATGATCACATGCATGTGTGCACGCACACAAACACACACACACAGCATATTCTATAAACATGCATAATTAATGGTAGAGGATTAATAAATGTCCATTAAGCTTTTCTTAGTCATCTATAAAAATGCACCTGCCAAGGTGTCTCATTATCAAGAAAAGTTCTGGTCACTGTAAGAACTAAACAATTGTTTTATTGCCTTTATTGTTTATTAATGCAACACTAGTTAAAATGGAGTTGATGTTTGCTTTCTATTTTGGGGTGTAAAATCCTTTTGTTAGGAAAAGAAACTAAGTTAATAAATGCTTAACTGATAATTTAACACAATGTGAAACTTTTCCCATGGGTCCTTTATCTGGGCATAACATCCTGGCCATTGAAATCAGATCAAATTGCATCTTGGTATACAAGCTATCAGTCCAGATTTATATCCTTTCTAGTAACAAAAAAAAAATGCTCAGTTTGTTTGGCTTTTTCTTTTCTGGTTGAGTTTTAAATACTCCATTTGGTCTTGGATGTTGTTTTCTTTCCCCTTAAGCTTTTCTCCAAACATGATTTAGATTTAACAGCAGCCACACAACATGTTAATATATGCAGTTTGCCTGCTGTTCATACAGCCGCTTAAATGTAAACTGTAAAGGTTTTATAAGAGACAAATTTACTAATCAGTTACAGAATATTAACACCCAGGATCCTCATCTGATATAAGCTGACATCTATAGAGTATGCTGATTTACACCAGCTAAGGACCTGTCCTATAGGTGTATGCTTAAAATGGAAAAATAAATACATTTTAGAACAAAATATTTGAAAGTCAGTTCTTCCTTTATTTACCTGCCAGTTCCTGGGTGTAAGATTCAATATGGGAAGGAGTAGAAGTGAAGAATGGGATGGAGCTGGAATAGATAGGACTTTGGGGGGAAAAAAACCTGAAAGATGCTGAGCATTTTCAATTTTCTGAGTCTCTGAGTTGTGTCAAATCCCATAGGTGGGATTCTCTTTAGAGGTTAGGAATGGAAAGACAATGAAGGGTCTGGGATGTAGACACATCTTTGGTGGGTTTGTAGAAGAAGGATGATCATCGTGGATGGCAGAACAGGTCGTAATAGAGGAACTTGTTTTCATGGCAGAGTTTGGTGAAGGAAGGAGGTGGGAGCAGGAAATGAGGAATGAACATGCCTTAGGGGAGGTAAAGATTGGAAGTCAAACACATGCAAAGGTCAAATATTTTTCTAGGAACCTTTTCTCCATTGCAAGCCATCAATTGGGAAATGGAATGCTGCTGTAAACAGCTGTGGACAGCGTCTCCACTGCAATCACTCTCCTGTTGCAGCTACCAAATATACAATCACATGCCAACTGCAAAAAATTAACAAATATTACAATACGCACACAGCATTTGTGCAGAAAGAAAACAATTGCTGTAAAATATACGTTAGGAGGTCCCTATAGCTACCCAAATAGCAGAGCATGCATACCAAACAAGAATAAAACAACAGTATTTTGCAATGTAATCCATTATTATGGAAGTGACAAAAAGAGTCACATGGTTTAATCAGCAAACTGGCCTTTCCAAACAACAATAGGAACTCTCTTTTTGCATAAACTAGCCACTCCTAATTTGAAAAAGAAAAAAGAGCTGCAGTAGAGTCTCTCCATGCTCTCTCCCTGCCATTTATATCTGGTACCAGGAAGTTTGTTGAAAGTTATAGTGTTCATTAAGAAATGTGCCTTTCAAACATCTACAAATTCTAGCCCCAAGTGTGCTGACTGTATGCTTGTCTATTTTAATGTTGTAGAAGAACAAATTTTCTAAGAAAATGCAAACAACTTTAACAGCAGGTGGCTGAAGCATAGCCTTCAGAGAGCTGTTAAGAACCATTTTTGTCTGTGACATAAAACATGGTTGCAAGCTATGTTATTTGCACTTATTGATTCAGTGAAAGAAGTCACCTTATGTTTAATTCAAATTGTCGTCCTGGCATGGACAGGCTTAGAACAATCAAGTTTTACAAATCCATTTGTTTAAGTGATTCTTTTGTTGGCTGTTCACTCTGTTCTCTAAACTGCTTTTATATTCTCTCTCTTCATAATGAGTCTTATTGAAGGAGGCAGGGAATGAAACAGATGTGAGAAAAGGTATCAATCTCCATAGGAAAGGACCACATAATCATGGATCAATAGCGGATCCAGGAGTCTACATGGAAGAAAACTCAAATGACAATGATATCCTTTCCTATCAGGTACCGCCGTGTTTATTACATATCTCATGACATAAATGTAATCAATACCTTTGTGATACGGTTGTGCTGAACTACCTGACCATAATGCAGAAAACCAGTCTACTTCCTGGTTTGTGCTAGCAGAGGCATCTGTAGTTCCACTTCACCTTACCTTCATAAAAAATTTAAAGCAGCACTTACTACTGAAAGTTAAAGCCAGGCCTCAAGGAGAGTTTAAGACTATAGGTCATTGCCAAATTAACAAGGCACGTTTATCAAATTGTTTATTTTGGGTTATATTACATCCTCACAATAAGAACTTCCTTCTTCTTGCACATGAGGAATAGTAAGGGACTGCTTACATTGTCATGTTCCTTTCTCTTTCTTTAGATGGGGCACCATAACTTCTGAGTGCTTCACACCATTTAAAAGCAAATATATTATCAAAATGCAAAACCGCTTTCCCTACAGGTTGGTGGTTCATTCCTTAGCCCCAAATCTCTGATCACTGCAATGATAATGACCATCAGTCAAATGGCTGAGTGGACAGGCATATTGTACCTCATGCCATTCTCTGACAATTGTCAAGTCCACGCTATGGTAAGTCACCAGAAGGAGCTAGTTTCACAGACAGGGGCCCTTCTGAGGACTCCATGCCACTGGTGCTAGAAAGATCTATTGTGAAAACTGACAGGATCATTTTTGCTGATCTCAGTTCCTGTGAGAAGACACTAGAGTTATGAAAAGATTATCAGACAGTGATGCCAGATGCTAGGCACCTAAACCAGGTATTTAGATACATAAAGGCAAACAGGGTTTCAAAGATGCTGATCTCCCACAGCGAACACTGATTTCACTATGAGTTGCTCAGCATCTATAAAAATAAGGACCACTTATTTAAATACCTCAATAAGGATTTAAGTGCCTAAGTTTAGACACACAACTTTGACAATTTTTGCATAAATGTTGAGGTTTTCAAATATTCTTTTGTTTCAGTGTGGAACAAAAAAAGGCCTTTCAAATTTTTTCATGAAAAATATCCTATGATGGGTCTCTTTCTGTCTCATTTTGAGAAGAAATTCCATGCTGGACCTGAGAAACCTTTTTGATTAAATTTTCATCAAACCCCATTGTTTCCACAAAAAGTTATGGTTTCATAAAATAGCATTTTTCAATAGAAAATAGTTTTGTCAAATTTTTCAATATGACTTTTGTAAAATGTACAGACAGCATTCTACAGTTATGTCAACGTTTTATTCACTCTAATTTCCTTTCATTCATTATCCAGATCATGGAGAGGGAAGCAGCTTCCTGTTCTAAATGGGCAAGATGGGATGGAGAGCGGGCACAGCCTGGGATCCACCCACCAAATGCACCAGCTAGCACACAGATGCTGAAAAGCCAGGAGGTCTCTACCTTATGTTCTGCTCTAGTGGTATGCTGTCCCTTTTTCAGGGCTCATGGAAAAATCACAACTGAGCCCTTAAGCAGCTGACATTTTCTTTATGATTACATACAGGAAAATCTACTGCATACCAATATTCCAAAAACCACAAAGTGACTAACAAAGCAACTCCACCATCTTTTTCTACTCAAGAAGAGAGTGTCTCACTGATCCTTTCCCTGTTTTGCCCAGTAGTGTGAGGTTGAAGGCTATATGGCAATAGGATGGACTACGCTGTTCACTGAGAGGTGTACATAGCTCAAAACTAAATCCATCACTGTATTTCAGAGTTTAATGCTTGCCGAAAAAATTTAGAATCAAGGATTTGTGCTTGATGGTCTAGTAACCTAACACCGAGTTACTACAATGAAGAAAATACTTTAGGTATCTGGGGGAAAAAAAGGTAGTGACTGTGTAGTGACAAGTAGCAACACAAAAATAGGGCAACCATTTGGGGCTATTTCCCCACACACATGGAAGCTGTGCGAAGGCAAGAGAGGTGTATCTCATGTAAATCAAATTCATTTGAATTCATTTATCTGACAGTAGAAACCAGAGCCAAAGATGGCATACATTTTATGCTTATTTACAGACCCCCAGGCAAAAGGATTCACAAAAGAGCTCACTGACACCTTGTCGGTGATGGTGGTAAAATACCCCAGATGCAAAAACCAAAAAACTCACCTCCCCACTTGGATTTTCACAGGTCACCACTTCTCCAACCCACACAGTTGGTCACACATTAAACCTAATCTTTGGCCTAGATATCAAGATAGAGGACATTACTACCAAGCCACTGTTTTGGACAGACCATCACCTCATAAACGCAGTGGTCAGAGACCTTCCAGTGCCCAAGCATGACCATGAAGACTCACAAACTCCATCAAATTCCACAGCCTGCTGAAGGACACCACCTCACCCACAGGATGAAAAGTCATGGACCTGGAGAATTACCACCATTCCACACTGGCCCCCAAATGACCCCTTCATCCCTGTCACCCACACACAGATCGCTTTGGTTTTATGGCACCCTGCGCCTAATCAAAGGAGAGAGGTGTAAACCTAAGAGCTGATGGTGGTAAACAAAAGCTGATTTAGACAGGATGAAACAAAATTTCTCAAAGACTATGCTGAGGCTGTCTTATAGGCCAAGAGAACCTGAGGCTGCCAAATCCGACTGCAAGGAGCTTACCTGCCTACAAGTCTGAGTGCCTACAACCTGCAACAGAGCTCAGCACCAAGCACTGAGAAGAACTATCATCCAACTTTGCTGAAAAGATCACACACACCTTTGGGAAGCCTTCTCAAAGATCAATGGTTCTGCTCCGCCTGAAACCACCAACCAACAGCCCTCCTGCATGCTTAGAGTTCAGCACACTCACTCATCAGGAAGTTCCGACACTTGCCCTTCCTGGCTTACACAAGACAGTCGTGAATGACTGGTTACACTCCTTGACTGAAACAGCCAATGAATGCCTCATTCAGAGAAGGAGTCTTCCCTTTGTCCTTCAATCATTCAATAGTCTGACCAACCCTGAAGAAACCCATCCTGGATCTTTTGGTCCTAGCCAACTATCACCCAATGTCAAACCTCCCATTCCTGAGTAAAGTTCATAGAGGAGGTAGCAAAAGACTAACTATAGACTCATCTAACTGAAGTCAGCATTGTAGACCTAGCACAATATGGATTCAGGTCCAGACATGGAACTGAAACTGCATTAGTGGCACTGATGGATGATCTCCTCTCAATGGACAGAGGAGAGACATCCATTCTCGTCCTCATGGATATTTTGGTAGCATTTGATACTATTTACTTTGAGATACTGCTGTCTCACCTGAGAGAGGTGATAAAATGATTTGAGTCATTCCTAAAGGAACATACCCAAAGGGTAGTGATGGAAAACTGCACTTTCACCACTAGACTCTCCAATTCTCTCTCTCTTTTTTCAATATCTACATGCACTCAACTAGGTAAACTGATCAGACAATCTGAACTCAAGTGCCAGCAGTATGCAGATGACACAACTCTACCTACCCTTCACCACATATGACCACATCACTACCACCAAGATGGCCCAGAACTGGGGTGAGATCAGCTAATGGGTGAAAACAGCTGGCTAAAGCTGAATCCAAACAAAACAGAAGTGATGCTGGTGGGAAGAGTAAAGTATTTTGAGGAGTTTGCAGCCATGGTGCTCTCTCTTTTGACTGAAGGTTCACATCCACAATTGGCCAATTTAGTCCATGGTCTAAGAGTACTCCTCACTGATGCTGAGCTCCTATATTGCAATGGTTGTGAGTAATGCTTTCTACCATCTCCAGCAGGCTAGGAGACTCTCTCTCATCCTGGCAATGACGACCTAGCCTCTGTTACTCTGGCCTTCATCACCACTCAGCTGGATTACAGCAATGTGATATAACTGAACATTAAACAGCACTTATACTCCAACTGGCACAGAAAACTGCAGCATGTCCTCAGTAACACAGGCTACTATGAGCCCACTGCACCTGTACTCTGCTCTCTACACCGGCTTCCCATAGAATTCTGAATCAAATTCACGGTCTCAGGCCTTATCCTTATCAGTCCAGAGCACTCCATAGCCTGGGATGAAGACTATGGTTGACAACTTCACTCCTCTGCCACAATGGAACTCTCCACAGTAAGGGTAAAGCTAGTCCGTGGGCAAGATGGAACATTCTCCAGAGGAAGTCCGAGATTGTGGAATGAACTCCCCCGGGAACTAAGGATTATCCCAAACCTCACCACTTTCCACTCTAAGTGCAAGGCTCATTTCTTTGACCTCATCTTCTCTAGCATAAACACAAACAGGTATATTTCTATACCTATAAAAATAAGACACTCCACTGCACACACTTCTCTCTCTGGGGAGAAGATGAGAAAAACAAACAAGTGACAAACGTGTGCTCATATTGCATAATGCACTGCTGGATGGTGCTCCGATATCATAGTGATAAACATTGCATAAAAACTTGTATAGAATAGAACAGCTGTTGAGAAGCTCACACTTTTGGAGTTGAACATGTAACAATACAATTTCTACATACAAATGCAGGTTCACATATACAAAACTACTGTTTCACCTGACCCTTTAGATATTATATAAAATGCTGGCCTCAGCATCAAGATTATTACTTACAGTTCTACCCAAGTGTTGCAGGACCTTTAATATCCTCTGGGGTGGTCACAATGGATATCAATTACATGCTTCATCCAAAGGATGGTAATTCTTACTGTAGAATATTACACTTCAGTGTCACCGTTGAGTATGAGGAACTTAGGCCAGAGCCAGGCATTCTACCAAGTGAGCCAAAAGGACAAAACAATGGGTTTTTTCTTAGGTCACATAACCTCTTGCAAAGACTAGGTGAAAACGTCGACTTGAAGCAATGAGAAGCATTTTGAGGTTTACACATTCCACTTGTAGCGCCCCCCTCTCCACCCGGTTACCTTCTTTAATGCCAATCTGCTTACAGATTTTGATGGACAGGTCTGGGTTCTTCTGGATCCCGCCACCCACTCAGCAGGGTGTATCTTCTTTATTTTTTCCTATGAATTTATTTGGCAGTGCCTCCACTCCCCTCGCTCCTTTCTGGCAGGGTCACCAGGGCAACTTGGGAGGAAAATTCTTACCACAGGGTAATCCCCACTTACTTGCCAGAAAGTTGGAGATTTCCAAGAAATAACACAAACTCATACAATATATTCAACACAATAATTATATTAAACAGGAGACAAATATAACTTAACAGGGTAAAACACTATTTTTGGGTTCACCGGTGCCCATGCTGCTAATACCTGTGACTTTCCCCAGTCACACGACTTGATGTAGCAAATGTAAGATTAGTGTCCCATTGGTACACGTACTTTGTTGGGGCCCTTGATGACTTATGACCACAAAATTCTTCTCTGCAGTGGTTTAGCAGTGTGGCTGACTAGGTTCAATACATCCCAAAGGACTCGCAAGTGGGAGAAAGTGGTAAATCCCTCCACAGGTTTAATATGCAGCAGGTTATAAAATACCCAAACCCTTACTCCCTGGCTTGAGGACACAGTTCAGGGAGTAGGGAATCCCCAAAATGAATTCCCTGACTAACTAAAAAATAGTGCACTCACAAACTCCATGAATGATCCTCAAGTTCAGAGATGACTCTGGACTCCTCAGTCACTGCAGAGGGGCTGATCTCTGCTGGCAGGGATCCTCTTCAGGCTGCTTCGATCCCAGGATTTCCCCTCACCACAAAGGGGTGTAGGGCTCAAGGTGCAGATTACACAACTGTACTAAAATCCAAACTGTAGCCTCCCAGCCCAGTGTCCAGACACACACACGCAGCAGGCCTGAACGAGAAGACAGAACAGAGCTGACCATGTGGTGACTGGTCTCACCTAGGGAGCTGGAGGGCTAACTCAGCCTGGCTGGGGAAGTTTCCCAGCAAAACTCTACAAACTGGTAATCATCAGTGGAGAAGGAAAAGCCCAGCTGAGGGGATCTTGCTATCAGGTCCCTAGAGGCCAGTTCTCAGGGAGAACCCTGCATGCAGACCTGGGACTCATCAGCTTCCCACACAGCCAGTCCTGACCTTGGCCTAGCTGACTCCAGACTAACTCAAAAATGGCTTCTCCCCTTTCCTGAACGCCCTGGGAGGGGCACTTCACTCCCTATTGGTTGCCGGGCAGACTCTGAGTTTGCCTTGGCTCCCCCTCCCTACCAGGGCCAGTGTGCCTCTCCCTGAGCTGCCAGCAGACAGAGCCCCAGGAATCCTGGTAATCTCCCTGGGGTACTGCACACTTTATTGTCTGTGCAGTACCACATTATTACTGATACACTGCATGGCAAAAATTAGGAGCCTTTGGGGTCTGACCTCATTTTGTTTTACTAAAACCTTTTCTAGCATACGCTATTAATAGAGCAGGATTCTGATACCTTGTAAAACATAATGAAACATGAAGCATACATTGGATACAATACACAATGCTGAGATCCTGCATTTGATTCTCAGCAAACTCTCTAGATTTTATTTTTGGAGAGAACACTGTGAAACATTTAAACCTGCTTCTGTGGCTGTGTGGATGAAACAGCAGAATAACAAGCAGCAAGGTGTGTGAAACTGTGCATAAAATGTAGCTCTTGGAAATTCCATACAAACTGTAGTACTTTCAAAAGATAGCCCAGTGATAAAAATGATTAGTCATTTGATCAGTTCTAAAGTATCAAGTGGGTAAGAGTGAGAGTGTTTTAATTAGGATGTTTTAACAATTCTTCTAGATAATCCTTTAAAAGTGTCTGTTTTCCTCCTAATTATCAGTGATCTTCCACAAGAACACTAACAGCCTGATTCATATATCTTACTGCATTTACAAATGTAGGGATGCTGTGCACTTAAAAAACTCCCACCAACTTTATATAGGAAATTTAGCATGCATATGAACTTATTGCTGGCAAGCGTATAGCATCAAAAAGAGTAGAGAAAGACAAAGGCTCCATGGGTAAAACTCATAATTCAAATGCACTTACGCAATTTAGGAGCCTAAATCCCATTTTCAAATGGGCACATAGGAGCCTAAATCCATTTTGAAAATGGGAGTGAGGCACCTTTGAAATTTTTACTCTATATCTAATACGTTATAGGTCTGATTTCCCAACAACTTGCACTTTGATAGTTATATACACTACTTAAAGTGTGTAAAGACTTCAGGAACCACCACCACCAATGGAAAGTATGGGAATACACAGTTCAGGTCACTTCAATAATCCTAACTTTGATCACAAGCCACCATGCACCACTTAAATTCCACTTCAGACCGACTTAAGACTTAAAATATAGCTTTCTTGGGATCTAGAGATAAATGTTTTAAGACCTGAACAAGGGCAGTCCGAGGAAATGACTTTTTAATAGAAGTGGACTGTCAGGGTTCCTTCCCCACTCTGAGCTCTGGGGTACAGATGTGGGGACTCGCATGCAAGACCCCTAAGCTTATTTTTACCAGCTTAGGTTAAAAACTTTCCCAAGGCACAAATTCCACCTTGTCCTTGAACAGTATTCTGCCACCACCAAGTGATTTAGACAAAGAATCAGGGAAAGGACCACTTGGAGTCCTATTCCCGCAAAATATTCTCCCAAGCCCTACAACCCCTTTCCTGGGGAAGGCTTGAGAATAATCAGGGGTGAAAGTAAGTTGAGTGACTTACCAACTCTGGCCCCCGGAAGGGGCGGGGCCTAGGGCAGAAGGGGCGGGGCTGAGGGGGGTCAGAGCCAGCCCCAGCCCACCCTGTAAGGTAAGTGCCCCCCCTTCTCCTCCCCGCCCCACCAGGGTAGCAGCAGCAGCCCAGGGCTCCGGGGGCTATTTAAAGGCCCCGGGACTCCCCTGCTTCTACTGCCTTGGTCCTTTAAATAGCCCCCAGAGCCCTGGAGTAGTGGCAGCGGGGCTGCGGTGGCTATTTAAAGGGCCGGGGCGGTAAAAGCAGGGGAGCCCCGGGCCCTTTAAATAGCCGCCGGAGCCCCACAGCTGCTACCCCAGGGCTGCAACAGAGGGGCTCTGGAGGCAATTTAAAGGGCCTGGGGCTCCAGCCACTGCTGGGAGTCCCAGGGCCTTTAAATTTCCCCCTGGGAAAGCCAGGCTGCCCCAGTATGCTGCACTGGCTCTTGCCGGTACGCCGTACCGGGGCGTACCGGCTTATTTTCACCTCTGAGAATAATATCCTCACCAATTGGTAAAGGTGAACACAGACCCACCCTTGGGTCTTAAGAACAATGAAAAATCAATCAGGTTCTTAAAAGAAGAATTTATTTAAAAAAAGATAGAAGAATCACCTCTGTAAAATCAGGAGGGAAGATAACTTTACAGGGTAACAAAAAGATTCAAAACACAGAGGATTTCCCCTCCAGGCAAAACTTTAAAGTTACAAAAACAGGGATAAACCTTCCTCTTAGCACAGGGACAATTCACAAGTTAAAACAAAGATACTCTAACACATTTCCTTGCTATTACTTACTATTTCTGTAATATTAGATGTATCATTTCAGTGGGAGCTGGTTTACTTGCTTGGTCTCGGGGAGAACACACACAGAGCACCAAACAAAGCTTCCACCCCCGCCTCAGATTTGAAAGTATCTTCTTTCCCCATTGGTCCTTCTGGTCAGGTGCCAACCAGGTTATCTGGGCTTCTTAACCCTTAACAGGTAAGGAGGGATTTTATGCTACTCTTAGCTGCATATTTATGACATGGACAAAACTCAGGATTTCCAATTCATGGGAAATTTTTATGTTTCAAAATTTGGATTCAGTACATTTTTAAAAAAAATTCTTCACAAACTGGACATTCTGAAAAAAAATGAAGGGGGCCACACTAGGAGAAGACTTTTGAAGACTGAACTATAATGGAAACTAGCATGTTTCCTTAACAATAATGTAAACAAGATATGATGCTCCACACAAAAGAACAAAAACTGACCACAATAGAACATCAAGGCCACAGAGTTGAATATTCAAACATCAGGGGGAGACCCCCTCTGCCCTCTTCCCCATTTGCACAATGCAGAGCATGCCTAAACTCAGATTAGTTTTATCTGTGAGGCAGCAGATCAGATCATGAGCAAACTATTCACATATTCTTAAGTAGAGTCTTCCTTATGAAGTCCTTATGAAATGAAATGTCAGATTGGTCCTTTGATGGACAGTTTTTTATATAATCAAAAGGACTCTTGGAAAACATGACAGGAATCTGCAGTACACCTTCTGTGAACTTTCCGTTCTTATTCTTTGGTGAAAATGCATATGGTAGAAAAGAATGTACACAAAGGAGCATTCATTCACCACTAGTGCTGCTGTGGAGGGGAACTGGATCTATTTCTAGGTAATGGTTATCGCTTACTCATTTGCACAGAAATGCAATTGCCAATTAAAAATGTTCTATAGCAAAACTGTGTCCTCTGTACTATATCATATTTTGTATAAATAAGTACATCAAGAGAATGTTAAGGGTGCAGTTTAAGAATTCAAATATCAGGATTTGACTAAGTTGGAGTTGCCATCACAATCTTAACATAACCTCCCTGTGTATATGCATTATGATAGCATCTTTACTTACATGATCCCATGCTATTTAAAAAATACTAAAATATAAGGTCACACTTTTCCTTACATGATCTTCAGGAGCCTCTGTGGACCTCTGTGCATCTTACAAATTCCTGTTTGGAGAGTAATTGAATATCTGATGTCCCTAGCGTACCCATGCACACACCACTGTTAAGTCTGCCAGACCATAATAACGATACTTGAGCTTAGGGGT